TCATTCACTAATATTTTGACTAAAATGAAAATTAGTGCTAATTTAGTTTCTTAACATCAAATCTAAACTTTTGAATTGATGAATACTAAGGATTCTAAGCCACGACAAATATTCCTATTGTGATAAATTAAAAGAAATCAAAAAAAATACACATATTACGTCTATAGAAAATTATTATCTAAATAATCACAATATAAATTCATTTGATTACATATTTAATAATAAAGCAATATTGCTTAATACATATTTGGATTCTCTCTAATTATAGTTTGAAGCTCATATAATATTTAACATAAATTTGTTATGAATGTTAAAAATTACTACTCTATATATAAAAATCTAAAAATAATTAAAAAAATAAAAAGTGTATCTAATTAATCTTGATTAAACATTTCAAAGGAATGTTAAGATTAACGCTCTATCAATTCCAAGAATACAAGATAATAAAATGATTTTAATATATTTCTATTAATATTAGTGATTATAAATTTATACATTATTATTATAATGAAACAACAATAAAGAAATATTTATTAAACATTATTCTTAATATACTGACAAATAGGAATATAAGTTGTTCATTTTTCAACTTTTCCAAGCCATAAAGCCAAAAGTGACTTTCCTTTAACTGCAATAATCTTAAATCTAACCCCTGGAATATCACCAACTGCATGTCCCTTTCTTCCAAATCCAGCAACAGTAACTTCATCATTTTCATTTAAAAAATTTAAACAACCATCTTTAGGAACAAAGGCTGATATTTTTTTACCATTCTTTTTCAATAATACTCTAACACATTTTCTGACAGCAGAGTTTGGTTATTTGGATTCTCTAGATGGACATTATAAAAGTATATTTACACTCCAATTTTTTCAACAACTAAACCTTTAGCATGTGATGCACCCATGAATGGATTCTTATATCTTGATCCAATCATAGCTTTATTATATTCTTTATCAGCCCATCTATTAACTCTTCTGTGATCTTTGAGCTTTCTTCCTGCTCTCATACCTCTGGGTTTACCTACTCCCATGATTAAAAGATTTTAATTAAATTTTTTAAATTAATTACAATCTTCATTTGATTAATACTAAATATAATATGAAAAACTCAAAATCAAAAATGTTATCCTTCTTCTGGATTCTTGATATAAATTATGATTTTTATTTATTACATTCAATTAAATAATCATTCTAACTTTAATTCCAAATCTTAATTTATATATTTATTTCATACTAAGAAAATCTCTCAAACCATATTATTACATTTGTATTTCATAATTTTGATTTAAAAATCTACTCTCTTTTGATCAAATATAAGAAATGGAAAATTTTAAATAAGTTATTTTTATAATACTATTCTGATTGAATTATTAATTTATTCTTGCATAATTTTAATATAATGGGACTTTTCCTTCATATTTTTATAGTTATGATTTAAATAAAATTAAGATTTTAGTTAAAAAAATAATCAAGATCATGCTCTTTTATTTATGTAAACATTATTTTACATAAAAATTCTCATTCTATATCATTTCTAAAAATATGATAAGGACTTTGCTATGTTAAAGTGTGATTTCAACTTTGTTAATCATCTTTTATATGGTTTAAAAGATTATTATCCATGTGGATTTAATTTTATCATTTGATATTTTTGGGCATTTATAAGTTACTGAACTAACAGTATTTTGATTTGGTTTTCAAGATTACATATTTAAAGTTTATTCTTATACTTAAAAATGTATTAAATACAACCTAATTCATTTAATATCTTATACTTGGTCTTGTTCTAATTTTAATTATTTTGAATATTTTTAATCCGCCTATTTTTATTTAGCTTAATCTATTGACATGGATTGGAAAATTAAAGTATTTTAATAATGGAATTATAATCATAAGTGTATTCTTTTGAAGCAATCTCACTTATAAGTTAAGAAGGCAATTCTTTTATTTAATACATTTATTTTGATTTTAATCTCAATTTTAATTCTTTATATTATTTTCTTAGTATTTTTTGATCCTTTTTTTATCAAAATACTCTAACAAGTCTTCTTTTGATCTTATAAATTATAATTCTTAATCATCCCTCAAATAATCATAAAATATGTTATGGGATCCAAAATTATTGTTTTAATATTTTTTAAAACTTAAGCTTGAGGAATACTTGATATTCGAATTAATTTCTAATTTTTAAGCAATCTTATCTTTAACTTCTAAATAAAAATTAGATATATTACATAATCTATTATTATTTCAATAATTTCTATATAATTGAATTTTAATTATGTTTATAAGAGTACCTGCTAAGATAATAATTTCAGGTGAGCATTCTGTTGTGTATGGTCATAGAGCATTATGTGCAACAATCAACAAATATACTAAATTAAAAATATACTCAAACAAAACTAATTCAATAGAGATAAGATGGGGAAATGATTGGCATGAAGTCTTAGATTTAAATTAAATTAATACAAATTCTTAGTTAGCTTAAGTTGCTCATATTTTAAATATCAAACCATCTATAATAGAAGTAGAATCTGAAGTACCAATTAGTTCTGGATTAGGATCATCAGCATCTTTTGCAGTTGGATTATCCAAAGCTATGAATGGATCTATTGAAAAAGCAATTGAAATTGAAAATATATTTCATGGTAAGAGAGGAAGTGGATTAGATGTATAAGTAACCCATCATGGTGGTATATGCATATTTTAGATAGGAAAACCAATTTAGTAAGTTAATATTCCTATTCAATATATATTATTAATAGATTCTGGAGATAGAAAATAATAAGGTACTGAGGGATCAATTTCAAAAGTTAAAAATTCAGTTGAATAAAAAGATGGAAAATAAATCTTGAATAGAATTTCAGAAGTAACTGAATAAATAATTAGAGAAGGTCTTGTGAAAGAGTTGATTTATGAAAATCATGATCTTTTAAATAGATTAGGTATTTGCACTGATAGAATAAATGATATAATTGTAAATAATCTAATTTAATATAGAGAATTTGTAAAAATGAAAATATTCCTGCAAAAATGACTGGGGCTGGAGATGGAGGATTTTGTATTGCATTTCCAAAAGATGAATAATAATCTGATTTTTTAGCATAAAAATTACAAAATTATAAAACTTTAAAAGCAAGTATTGATAAAGAAGGATGTAAAATTATTTGAGTATTAAATACATTTGTTTTAATATTGACTCATTTATATAAGCCTAAATAATTTTATCCCTCTAAAAATAAATATTAGTATTTAGATTCTTATTTAATTTAATAAATTGATTTATATAAAATTTAGAGATTTGATAAATGTTTGCGAAATAATTAATTAATATGGATGAAAATGGTTATGTAATTTAGTTATATAAAAAATATTTAAAAATTATATATTTCTAATTACATGCCTAGATTTATTAATTATATTAATAAAATTAAAATGCAGATCAATATAAAAAGTAATATTCTGCAGCCTATACCTATAAAGAAAAAGATAATAGGGTTACCAGAAAAATATACAGAATTCAATGATCTTCTAAATTTAATTTGGAAAGCTGTATCTGCTCCAGCTACTCTAGAATAGATTGAAACAATTAAAAAAGTAAGCAAGAGGAGGTAGTTTTGCAAAAACCCTTTCGTCTTAATTGACTAGCAAATTTCTGAAAATTCTAAATCTATTCAGGAATTACTAGATGAAATTGAATGACACCCATTTATATATATTCATTATTGAATAAAATAAACTATAAATATATTGTCACACAAAATATTGTAGTTAATCTATTTATCATTATTATTAGAGGTCTTATTTTATAATTTCATTAATATTAAATTAAAAATCTCTTAAAAATGGATGTTAGAAACATTGGCTAGCAGTGAACATAAAGCTGAATGAAATTCTAGTAATTTCTTTAGTAAATCTACTAAGTCTTCCATAGTGCCCATCTCTAATTATAGGTTTCTTACCAATTTGAACCTTGGATTGTTCTTAAACTTGATTTATTGGATTCCTAATACAAATACTAAAAATTATATATATTCAAAATTTTTGGATCAAGTAGATCAATATTAAATTCATCCTCATACATTTTCAAAGTTTTAAGTTCCAATTTTTAATTCTATAATAAAATAATTCTAACATTTGGACTATGTTAGATGAATTAAAAGTTGGTAATAATATTAGTGATAAATTATATTGAAATCATTTCAAGAATATTTGATAGTTGATCAAATGATGATGTTCCTTAGAAAAAAGTATATCCTAGAAATAATTAAGTTGCAAAACATCCTACCAACCACATAAAATCTTTTTGTAACCTAGAATAATCTAAATAATTAATATAATAAGATATACCTCAGAAGCTAGATAATACAAGCTTTAAATATAAATATAATAATTTAAATTAATATTTACTTCAGATGCAGATCCAAAATCAATAGATACCTTCATTTGGATAATTAAGAGTTCTAGAAATCACATAAATTATTTCAGTGTAATATCTAACTTTTGTTGCGTGAAAAGATGGATTAATTATTTGACTCTATGAAATTGTTTAATTATAATGACTTTATTTTTAACAATCATATAATTAAAAGTAACTCTTTTAAATACTCTTAATTCAAAATTAACATACTAATTAAAAATACCATTCTTTTTAATCTTATAATACCAAATTAAAAAAGGCTAAGAGTGAGGTTAAACATTAAAATCTTTATAATTATAATAATTCCTATTAATGTTGTTGGATAATATAAATAATTGATTCTTATCTTTTTTAATATAATTCTAATTACTAATAATTCTAAAATAGAATGATTAAACTTCTAATTCCTAAAGATATGTTAAAATTTATATCATTAATAAACTTCAAATTTCATTTTATTATATTATAGTGATAATACTAATCTAGAATAATTTATTGTTATTTTAATATACTTATATGTATTTATAATATTTTCAAAATTACTTTAATATGTTAATATTATGTATATAAAATAATTAATGTTAATACTTTTCTTAGTTTATGTTTAAGCATAATTTACATCAAAATTGCACTTTCATTACCCTAATACTGATGAAACAATCGTACAATTCACAATCACTAATAAGCATTAAATTGATTTCACTAAAACTACTTAACCATTTTCTTTATTTCCTAGATCATATTTGGAAAATTTGCATGTTGAAGGCAAAGTCAGAGAATTTTATATCAGCTCCACATAAGGTATGATGCCTGAACTTAATGCCCCTTAACACGGTGTTCTTATTATAACTAATGAAGATGCTGATTAATTAATTGCTATTAATTAAGTATCAGAAATATTTAGAATTGCTAAATATAATATGATCTATGATCAAGCTTATTATTATAAATTCAATGGAAATTAATCACAACTTTCCTTTATGGGATTTGATGATGATACAATTTAAGTAGGTAAAGTACTTTTGGCACAAGATCCTACTGATAATATTTGCATTGATGGAATAGAATCTATTCTAAAATATTTTGGATGTAATGGTAAGAAAGGACTTGCTTAGATTATTGATCCTAATACAATATTTAGATCAACCTATTTATCTCTTTAAGCAAAATTTTAATATGATGAATAAACTAAAATTGCATCTTAAAAAATTGTACTTCTTGTGAAATATGATACTTAATCAATATCTAAAATTTTTAATTTAGATCCCAATTTATCATATTAATCTTGTCCTGAATTTGATTCTGAAATAATTTAACATTCTACAAGAGAAGTAACATATAATTTAAAATCAGCCAAATAATTCAGAATGGGATAATTAAGTAAAATATAAGATGATACTAATATGATTAAATATTAACCTAAAAGTATTGATATCATAATTTAATTTAGTAATCATTAAAAAGTTTTGTGCTGGACCTTGGTTTGCTTTTGATTCCTATATTCATCAATAAGTAACTGCAAATGAAGATGGAATTGTAACTATATTATTATATTTTCCACATGAATTTACACCTATTTATCATACATTAGAAACAAGTATAGAAAGTTAAAAAGAATTTATTTGGGAAGGTGAAACAAAAAAAATTATTATTACTGCAAAATTGAAATAAAATTAAACATTTTTAGTTAAAATTAAATTTAGCAAAAAATTAAAAAGTTTTGAAGAATATCCTCATGATCCTGAAAGAGGATAGGATATTGTAAAATATAACTTAATTATAATAGATTACTTCTCCTGTCATATTTAATGGGGAATTATACTTAACATCACATTAAGTGACAAGATAACCATATCCAGACTTTTCAATGCCTTTCAACATTTTAACATTTTCATCATTAGCTATGGGATACTTTTTCTTATAAATTTTAGGTATGGCAGTTGATAAATTTGTTCTTAATAAACCAGAAAAGGGATCATTGGCTTAAAGATTATTAAGAAAAATCTTTTCATTAATATCATTTTGAGTATCAATTTTATATTGAAATAATAAAATATTGTATATATCTTAGATATAATTATTATTCAACTATGTTTAATATTGATATATAGTAAATATATTTAAAATAAAATTAGTAAAAGTGAGAGGATATTATTATTAAAATGAAATATATATAATTTTGTAAAGTGTTTGCATAAACTAAAATACTGTTAAAATTCACAAATCATCATGATACATAGAACTTATTGATTTTTATTATTATTCTAATTCTAATTTTTATTATTCTCTTTTGGCTGAATATTCTTTGAATTCAATGATTTTATCTAAATAACAATATGATTATTGTAATATACCTCCATTTGAATCATAATCTAGAAAGAATTAAGCAACAAAATCAGCTGTATTATATGGATTCTAAGTTGGAAATTGTGCTCTTAATTCATCATATTTAAGCATTTAATCCCCATCTTAATCAAACATCAAAAAATCAGCTTCATATGGTTGTAATCCAAGTACTATTCCTAATAGTAATAAAACAATCACACGTCTCACCATTTAATTTAATTATTAATACTATTCGTTATTCCAACAAATTGAGTTCTTTTTTCAATTGTTTTAAAAAATATCTCAATAAATAAATATCATTTATACAATATTAATCATTTTTTTAAGAAATAAATAATAACTCAATAAATAACTGTGCTAGGATCCCAACAGGTATGATAATTTTGATTTAGTTTGTCAATAATTTTCATATCATCTTCCAAAATTTGAAAATCAAAAATCTCAAAATTTTCTTTTATATATTTTGGAGTCTTTGATTTTGGTAATACTATAAATCCTTTTTGAACAGCCCATCTTAGACTAATTTATGCAACACTTTTATTATATTTCTTTGAAAGATTTATCATTTTTTAATTCTAGATTAATTTTGGGTCATTTCTAGCAATAGGAGAATAGGCTTCTATTAAAATGTCTAAATTAGATATTACTTAAAATTACTTTGTTATTAACAAAATTCAATAGTGGCTTAATCCCAACATAAGGGATGTACTTCTATTTGATTGATAACAGGTTTAATTTTACAATTCTACAAAAGATGTTCAAGATGATGTTTTAAAAAATTGCTAACACCTATATTTTTAATTAATCCTTCTTAAAATAATTACTCTAAAGCTTTATAAGTTTAAAGTCTCACAGTGGCATTGTTAGGACTATTAGGTTAATTACCAGAGGAACCTGGCCAATGAATTAATAATAAATCAAGGTAAGTTGTATCCAAATCTTATAGGATTTTTTTGCAAGTTTTTAAAGTATTTTCATATCCTTATTCGTATGGGGCAATCTTAGAAGTAATGAAAATATCTTCTCTTCTAGGAACTCTAATATCTAAGCCATTTTTATAATAAGAAGCAGAATCTATATGAGTATACCCGCTAAGGATAATGATTAAAATAAATCTGATTACATTTGTAAAGCATATTTGATTCCTTCTACTAATTCCTTTCCACTACACTAGTAAGTACCATAACCAATCTATGGAATTTTATTGCCATTATTCAGAGTTAAAAAAGGAACAATTATTTTTTACATTTTATAAAAATAATTCATTTTTGAATATCATTAAAAATAGAATATGTTTGCTAATATATTATAAATTATTTCTTATAATTATTTACAGTAATAAATTTGAACCATACAACCCCAAATATCAACACAATAATCATTTTATAATGCTATTTTGGAGAGTTTAAATCTTCTAAACAAACAAATCATTTAGAAAGAGTGTATCTTCTCATTTTATAATAATATTTGTCATTTTGAAATCTATATTGAAGAATCCTTTACTATGTATTTAATTAAATACTTTTAACAATTATTACAAATATAAGTTTATCTATTTGTATTTACGATTTTCCAAAATAAATAAATAATTAAATTGAATTAAATATGAAAAATAATTATAATATATATATGTTTGTTATATCTTATTTAATTATTCTACATTATAGCTAATATATTTATGATAAACAATCATCATTTAGATTCGTATGTAATCCTTGATTTTAATTATGATAAATGAGATTTTTCTATTCTAAAATTCATATAATTGTCTTTCTTTAACATCATAATTTCCCTTTTATATTTAAGTAAATTTTGTGTTAATTAGCAAGAATTTAAAAACAAATTTTCTCATGTGATTTATGAAGAAAACTAATTGGAGGATAAATTATAGGTTTCTATTTAAATTTTAAAAAGTAAAGTTACTACTATTTATAATTCAAAGAAGTAATGAGATTGAGTGATTTGTTAGCAAGAGAATTCAAAATTGAATTTTAATATTAAAAATGTCAATTTTGAGTGAACATACAATTTCAATATAAAAGGAAAAAATAACAATGATGTCTGTATCACATAGTGCTATTAGTCCATCTATAGCAATTTGTACAATGGCTAGAGTGATGTTGTATAATGATTAAGGAGAGAAATTTGATTATGAATTGGCTCGTAATTAGAAACCGACTGCAATAGCATGGCATCCTACTCAGCAACAATTAGCTATAGGATGGTAGAATGGTAGATTTTACAAAATATAATTTAGGTACAATAACATTATGGTCAGAGGATACACGTACAGCTAAGGAGGAATCAGCTGTACATAAAGAAGAAATTAATTTAATTCAATATAACACAAATGGATCTAGAATGGTTAGTGCAGATATAACAGGTCTGGTAGTAGTATGGAGAGGAATAACACCAATGTGTACTTACCAAAAAGAAGGTATATAAACAATTTGTATATTTGCTGATTTGAATAATATCATCAAAGCTTAAAATTTATTCTTTTTTGGTGGTAAGTCAGGATTAGTATGTTTGGCTGATGATAGTAAACATTGTTCAGAAGTTTGTAAAGTTGTAGGTAGTATTAAATGTTTGATGATATATGAGAAATATAATTCAGTCATTATAATCACAAGTGGTTTACTTTTAGTTTAATTTAAAATAAGTACAAGTGAAAAGACATAGCCAGACAAAAAAGTTAAATTATCAATAGCAGGAGAGTCAGAATCATTATAATCGGTTTGGATTGGTTAATGTTTAATAGCAATTTCATCAAATGAAAATATGATTAGAATGTTTTAATTAGAAGCTGATGAAAATTATGTTATTACTTTGCATGAGTTTTAAGAATTATTTCCTTAAGATAAGATATTAAATGATAAAATTACATGTGTTCAATATAGCAAGAAATCTAAGAATTTAGTAGCAGGGACTAAAGAAGGTAGATTAGTATTTTGGAAAAACTTTTCATTAACAGATGAATCTCCTGTTGAAAGTGAATAGTGGAAAGCATTAAAAATTATTAATCATTAAAAACCAATCAATGAAATTGCTATAGGCAAAAACAGTGGATTAATTGCTGCAAGGTCTGAAGAATCTGTTAAAATAGTTTAAGAATCTTTAGTTCATGGAAAAATAAACGAGAATGTTAGAGTTTTATAAGTAGAGCATAATAAAATTTTAATATATTTTAAAAATGATTCCTAAAATTAAGAAAAAGGACCTTGGTCAATGTTTTTATGGGATAGCAAATTTCCTATTAAATCAATTGATTGCACTCAATAATATCTATTGATTTAAAGTGCAAATAAGATTGAAATTAGTGAATTTACAAGTAATATACAAATTAACCTATTTAGATAATACTTAAATTTTAAGTAAATCTTCATTCGATAAGAAATGTGTGAAAGCTGCTCTATTTTAAGAAGATCTTATATTATTTTATGAAAATAAATTTGAAGTAACGAACTTTAAAGGAGTTTAAAAATATTTTGTTGATTTTTCAGAAAGTGATGGAACTATAGCAAATTATGAATTTAACAATAAAACTATGGTTATATGGACACATAATAACTATTTTAGATTATATGATTTTAGTCGAAGGGAAGCATAACTTTAAGGATTTAATTGCAAATTTGAAAATGACAAAGGTTCTTTAGGTACAATTAAATAATGTGCTGTTAATTGTGATGGAACCAATGTTGCCATTATAGCAGATAATCATGGAAATCAAAATGATTTATTTTTTGTTTACAATTCAGAAAATAATAACTTTTAATCATTTGAATTACCTAAATATAGAAAAGCTATTTAGATTATGTGGGATCATTCAGATCCTAGATTCTTTGGTGTAACTACTATTTGCACTAAGATCAAAACAAACAGTGAAAATGATGTTGAAGAAGAATAAACTGATTTTAGAGCTAAAAAGTTTTTCACTTTCTTCTTCAATCCATAATTAGGTATTAAAGAATAAGATTGTTATGTACTTGATGATAAATAAGAGGGAGTTTTGTCTATTCGTATTCCACATATTAGTGTTATTTAGATAAAAGAAATTATTAGTGATGATAATAATAATGATTAAACAAAAGATCAAAACACAAATTAAGATAAACTTAAGAATGATAGTAATGTTATTAAGATAAAAGAATAATCAAACAAAAATTAAGATAATTCTAAAAAAAATGATAGTAAGAGTGTTTAGAAAAAAGAACAATTCAGAATTTAAGATATCCTTATGAATGATTTCACTGGATTAGAAAGAGCAGATGAACCAACTAAAAGAGCTGTTATTAATTTCTCATATCACTTATCTTGTGGTAATTTGGATGAGGCCTATAAATCTGTGAAGGCTATTCAAAATCCAACTGTATGGGAAAAAATGGCTTAGATGAGTGTTAAAACTAGAAGGTTGGATGTTGCTGAAATCTGTATAGGAAATATGAGATTTGCAAGAGGGGCTAAAGCAATAAGAGAAACAAAGAAGGAACCAGAATTTGAAGCTTAATTAGCTATGGTTGCTATACAATTAAATATGATCTCAGAAGCTGAAAAACTATATTATTAATGCAAGAGATATGATTTACTTAATAAATTATATTAGGCATAAGGGTAATGGGAAAAGGCATTAGAAATAGCAGAGAAACATGATAGAATTAATCTCTTATCAACTTATTACAA